CATTATTTTCTTCCATCCATTTTATAGCCTTTTTTGCTGCATCTTGCTGAAACACAAAATCTTGGCCGGATGTCAAACATTCTTCCATCACTGGTAAAAGCGATTCTTTTAAAATTGCCAAATTTTTGTTTGTATCCACATTTCCATCAATAAAATGAAGTTTTCCTACTCCTTTTGATGACATACTGCCCCAGACCATAATCGATGCTGGAAATTTCACTTTTCTCGTCATACAGTCAACATGGAATGCTTCATTTTTTTGCGAATGACTCTACTGCGACTGTCACCAACACAAACTTCGAATCGGGCCTCATCACTCCATTGTATTGCACACCATTGTTGAGGTGTCCATTGTCTATGTTCTTTAGCCCATCTAAGCCGATTTTTCTTTTGCAGTGGAGTTAATAGTGGCTTTTCTTTGGCCTATAAACAAGTTGGGCAACTTTAGTGTTTTTACTTCACTTTTTTTTTATAAAAAAACTTACATTGAAAGTGATAAATCCCAGTTTGTGGGCCTCTCTATGAGTTGTGGACCTCGAAATTCTCCTTCCAACTGCGTCGCTCCACAGAGCACTTAATTGTAAATAATTGGCACGCCTGTTTTTCACGATTATTCTTCTTCATGCTCTTCGGTCGGCATTTGTGGCTTAATATTACCTGAACCAGTTACGGTATATCTTCTAACAATATTTCTCACACTATACCGCGATAAGTCTAACAAAGTTGCAATTTCTGAGTTTGATTTCCCAGAATTAAAAAAAATAATTATCAGTAACCGAATTTTCTCACTAATAACCTTTCCTCTACCCATTTTGAAAACCTTAACTACCCAAAACTATTTTAAACGTATTCTGACAGCTGTGATTAATAAAAACAATTGTCATGGCTTTTATTTATCACAGCCACCTACTATGCGTTACAGACTTATTTTGCATTGGAATGAAAATAGGTTGATATGCTGTAATTGCAACATGTGTTATTTTTATGTTGCAAATTTGATTAGGGAGTGATAAAGTTGGTGTTTTCTACTATATATTATCAAAATATTCATTGTTAATATTTTAAACCTATAATACCCTGCTACATTTTTATTATTTGTGTTTGATAAGAAAAAAAACTAAGATTTCAATAGTTGGGCCAACTGAAGTGGGAAGGGGCTCGTATGTCCGTGGACTTGCATTTATCACAAACATCTTAACAGTCGCCAGTTTCAAGATTGGATTTTTCTGCTTTCTTTCGAGGAAAAGAATTTGAAAAAAAAATCCTTATTCAACTAGTTTTCTATTTAATCCGAAGATAAGCTTTTTTGGTCTTACGTTTTAGTGATACAGGTGCTTTCTAGTTTGTTAAAAAACAATTTTTCATGCTACTTATCCAGCAAAATGAAATTTTTGCTAGTCTTTTAAAGCATTCATGTAGAAGAACGTATGTCGCCAATGTCTATGATTTGCAAAATACTACCGTCGGTATGTCTGATTATCGTTTCGCCATTGTAAACATTTATTGATGGATTAAATTTGAATTTTATAAGTATTATGTAATTAGTTATACCGGAGCTTGCATCCGCATCAAAGTGAGCTTCGCCGCATTCGATGTAAAAATATGTTAAATGTTTATTTTTAGTGATATCTAGCTGCCATATAACAGCAAAGTACAAAATGTTGAACGCTTTTTTTTAAGTCCTGGTTTTATTTATTAGAAAGGATAGGTGGGATCGATCAGGGAGATTGTTACACAAAGATACATGAACTACATTACAGCAACTTTTCACTTTTATCATATACACAATTATTTTTTATTATGTTACCAGTTAATTCAATATTCGCATTTTCTCAATAAAATATGATTGTAGAAAAACATGAAGAAATGGTAACATTCCTAATAAGGTCATACGCTTGTCCCAGAGCGTTACAATTCTGTCCCTACGATGGTCTTTTTAAATACTAGCAAATAATTTCTTGACTTTTCTCTTGTTGAGGCACAGCCCTATCTTTGGACAATATTATTTCAGTTATTAAAAGTTTGCAATCATCCTTCCGTTAAACCACAACAAGCGCAAATGTGAAGATCTAGATACCGCAACTTCTACAAACAAAACAAATCAGTAAAGCTTCCTCTTGGCAAGCCCCGCAGCGCTCGCTGTATTCTAGAAACTCATGGGTGCTTTTACCGATAAGATTAAATTAAACCGAATAAAATTTTAATTGGGCCTATTTTTTTTTTAAATCTCCAACTACCACGAAGGCCTAAGGCCTAAATACCCATTGGGTACCGTGGGGCTATAGGGGGATAGAGGGGAAAGGGGGAACGCCACACGGACTCTGGCGAGGGAACTCGTATGCATACGACATGCACACATTCTGGCTCCACCTACGAGATCCGCCGGGTGGTACCTCCACGTTCGACAGTCAGAGACCGTCTACCACCTACGGACAATCACAACATCCATTGGCAAGAGAAAAATTTCTCCTGGGACGGGTTTCGAACCCGCACGGCGACTGATCAGGAGACCGAAGAGTCTACTATTGCGGCCACCGCTGCTGCCTAAATAAAAAAGTTAATCAACCATGTGAGAGATAACAGGTTCAGTTAATTCAATTGAACTTTCTAAAAAGGTTCACTTGAATCTGTGAAACTAATTAATTAAATCAAAACGCATTCGTTGAATCAAATTTATTGAACCGTTTAGTTTGATTAGATACACCAATTTACTTAAAATTGGTGAACTGTCAAAATCAGTTTACCTGCTCTAAAATAAAACACTAATTTTTGTAATCTAATCTAAAACGTTTTTAAATTGGGTAATTAACAAATAAATGGCATTAAGTTTTTCTAACTTAAGCCAAAATTTGTAGTCAGTAAGTTTAATTAAATTAAATATTCAAAACACACATGACAACAGAAAATTAATTTCTCTTATTTTTAGTTTATTACATATGCGAGTAAGTCTTACCAAGTTGGTAATACCAACTATTTGTCTGATTGTCCAAAAACAGGTTATGATATTATTATCATTCACTAAAAGTAAGTCTTATATAGGAAAGAACAGAAAGGCATACCTAAAACTCACTGCTTACTAAAAATGTACTTCTACGAGGTCTGTAAGTTAGGAGATGAGACTGACTTTTCTCTAGTTCTTTAAATAAAAAATTTGGTTGCAATTTTATATTGTCACTCTCAAAACAATTTCCTTCTGAAGCCACACAGCGCTGGAGACGGTTCTGCAACTGCTCATAGCAGTGCTGGAACTCAGATACTGGAATAGCCTTCAGCTGGTCAGTTACAGCTGTTTGATATTTTCGAATATCCCAAAACGGATGCCCTTGAGGTGATGTTTCAACTTCGGGAAAAGAAAAAAGTCACAAGGGCTCAAGTCAGTCGAATAAGAGACTTAGGTACCACAGGAATTGTATTTTGTACTTTAATATTCGATAGAACTTTTAAAATTAATGCATAACGTCTATATAAACATGGTCGAAAAATGCGTGGCTTCCGGAATACAGGGTGTTTAAATTTACTTTCTAAAATAGTTTTTTTTAAATATTTCGAACAATATTTGATGTATAACAGTGAAAATTGGTATACAAGGGTTTTTTGGTACGACAAAACGAACCATGGGCATAGTTTTACTGTAGCCGCTAGAGGGCGCTCTCTACTGTACCTGTTGTGTATTAAAATGACCGAAAAACTGATTCTTCGCACTTTTCAACATAATTTTTAATTATTTATGGAAAAATAATTTTTTTACATTTTCGATTTGGGCATTACAAGTAATTAAGATAATCGTTTAGATTGTGTTTTTAAACACTGCAATAATTCCTATCTCCAAATAAACACAAAAAACAGAACAGAATTTGTTTAATTTTCCAATATTATTTTTAACAAATTAAATTAATTATTTACAACTAAAATGCTATTGGCTAGTTAGGACAAACATACAAAATCTAAAGTAGTTGCTCGAAATGTAAACCTAATTGTTCAATACACAATTCACATCTACGAATGGTCGAACGTGGTATAGCATTATTCAAATAAGGCCTTATTTCATCACATGCATTCCTGATTCTGTCTATTAGCATACCTCTTGTGGTTACGGGAGTCTGGTACACTTTTTCTTTTAGAAATCCCCACACAAAGAAATCTAATGGATTTAGGTCAGGGGATCGTGGAGGCCAGGCGACTGGTCCTCCACGGCCGATCCATCTTTCTGGATAATTTTCGTCCAGCCAGTTTCTAACTATTCTCGAATAATGAGCTGGACAACCATCAAGCTGGAACCAGGCCAATCTCCATAAATCTAACATAACATCATCCCACATATTTGCATGTTCACCCTTTAAAAATTCCAAGAAGGTCTCAGCATTTAACCTTGCAGGCAAAAGGTAGGGTCCAGTTCTTTAAATTAAAAATTTGGTTGCAATTTTATATTGTCACTCTCAAAATAATTTCCTTCTGAAGCCACACAACGCTGGAGACGGTTCTGCAACTGCTCATAGCAGTGCTGGAACTCAGATACTGGAATAGCCTCCAGCTGGTCAGTTACAGCTGTTTGATATTTTCGACTATCCCAAAATGGATGCCCTTGAGGTGATTTTTCAACTTCGGGAAGAGAAAAAAGTCACAAGGGCTCAAGTCAGTCGAATAAGAGACTTAGGTACCACAGGAATTGTATTTTGTATTTCTTATCTGTAAGTATCCTTTACGGCTCCAAAGAATAAATACAGATGATTTAAAGTAGCGCTGACGACCGTCTAGGCCCAACCCACCTTCGTTTCCTTTACACCCCCCCGTTACCACAGCAGATGGTGCTCGTCATTGTAGGAGCCCCGTTAAGGAACGGTGGTCATCTAATATAAATGGATCCATAAATATGGGCCAAGCTGGGGGGCGGCTTTTAAGCCTCAGTGAACCAAGACGATGCAAAGTTGCAAAATACCGATGGCAGAGCTGTGTTCGTACGCCATTGGGATAAATTGCATCGCACCCGCATCAGTCTTGAAATTTCACGTGCGTACCATATTAGCATCACCGCTAGTACCTTCCAGTGTCAATAATTGCCTGAGAAAACTGCGGAAGCGTTAAGATCCGACCGCATACCTTTGGAGCGTACATTGCGGAACCATGCTCCCAACGAGGATCTTCGTCGTTTCTGCTTTGGCGGTACTTGCTGAGGTGATACAGTGCGACGTGTTCGATAAGTACTGCGGGCTGGGGTGCAACGATGAGGTGCATACTGTTTGCTTGAGGAGGAATCAGGTAATTACAACTCTACGGTAAGAAACACATTGCGGAACCGCCTGAAATAATTTTGACATACCTTTAGTGCATCCAAAATATCCCACAGAAACCTTATGAGAAACATCTTTCGGCTATTTTTTTAAAAGTTCAGCATACAGGGTAGGACGCTTTGTACCTAAATGGAAATAGCGAAATGCGAGACTTTTTCATATGTTTAAATTGACGAGTTCTAAATTCAGTTATTGCTGATATACAGGGTGTTTCAGTTTATTGTTGCATAACTTTAAGATTCGATGGAACTTTTAAAATTAATGCATAAAGTCTATATAAACATGGGTCGAAAAATGCGTGGCTTCCGAAATACAGGTTGTTTAAATTTACTTTCTAAAATAGTTTTTCTTAAATATTTCGAACAATATTTGATGTATAACAGTGAAAATTGGTATACAAGAGTTTTTTGGCACGACAAAACGAACCATGGGCATAGTTTTACTGTAACCGCTAGAGGGCGCTCTCTACTGTACCTGTAGTGTATTAAAATGACCGAACATTTTTTCTTAGTGCAATTTTTTGCTTTTTGAATGAAAAAAACTGATTCTTCGCACTTTTCAACATAAAAAAGCTCTCCTGTGAGTTTTCGTTATAGTTAGCCGTTTTTAAGATATTTCGATTTTTAAGGCTCGATGCATTTTTAATTATTTATGGGAAAATAATTTTTTTTTACATTTTCGATTTGGGCATTACAAGTAATTAAGATGATCGTTTAGATTGTGTTTTTAAACACAGCAATAATTCCTAACTCCAAATAAACACAAAAAAACAGAATATTAATTTGTTTAATTTTCCAATATTATTTTTAACAAATTAAATTAATTATTTACAACTAAAATGCTATTGGCTAGTTAGGACAAACATACAAAATCTAAAGTAGTTGCTCGAAATGTAAACCCAATTGTTCAATACACAATTCACATCTACGAATGATCGAACGTGGTATAGCATTATTCAAATAAGGCCTTATTTCATCACATGCATTCCTGATTCTGTCTATTAGCATATCTCTTGTGGTTACGGGAGTCTGGTACGCTTTTTCTTTTAGAAATCCCCACACAAAGAAATCTAATGGATTTAGGTCAGGGGATCGTGGAGGCCAGGCGACTGGTCCTCCACGGCCGATCCATCTTTCTGGATAATTTTCGTCTAGCCAGTTTCTATTCTCGAATAATGAGCTGGACAACCATCAACCTGGAACCAGGCCAATCTTCTTAAATCTAACATAACATCATCCCACATATTTGCATGTTCAGCCTTTAAAAATTCCAAGAAGGTCGCAGCATTTAACCTTGCAGGCAAAAGGTAGGGTCCAAATAGTCGATTACGGTTGATACCAATCCAGACGTTCACACTAAATTCATGCTGAAAATTTCTTTCCCGAACTGCATGCGGATTTTCATGTGACCAAATATGTTGATTATGAAAATTTACCACTCCACGTCTAGTGAAGCATGACTCATCGGTCCATAAAACGTTACTTAAAAACTCCCTATTATTATCAGTTCTATCAAGAATCCACTGACAAAATGTGATTCTTCGTTCTCCATCCCCTGGCTGTAGTCCTTGCACAGGTTGCAAATGGTAGGGACGTCTATGGTCATTTCTAAGAACACGGTGAACATGGCTTGCTGAAATTCCCAAGGCACCAGAAACTCTCCTAACACTTGTGGTCGGATCTCTATCAAACTCACGCAGAATCATACGGGTAAATCTGCGCTGACGAACATTTATGTTTTGATCCCTTTGGAGATTTCCAAAACCATTTTAAATTATTTGGCGATGCACTCTTACAAATACTGAGCGAGTTGGATGTCGTCTGTTTGGAAATCTTCGTGCCTATTCTCTGGCTGCTTCTGCTGCGTTTCCATTTACAAAGCCATACACAAAATGAATATCCGCTAACTCTTGATTGGAGAATGAAAATGGCATTTTTATAAAACTTACAAAAAAAAACAAGTAAAAGAAACTGAATTTCATGCATTCACAATTGCAAAAAAACGTTTCAGGTTTCAACAGACAACAAAACTAACTGTCAACTAATTGACGTTTAACCTTATTCTGCTTTCAGTTTCAAAAATATTTGCAGGCACAGCCTACTTCTAAAAATTATGGAGATATTGACTTTTTAACTTTATTTTATCATAAATAATTAAAAATGCATCGAACCTTAAAAATCGAAATATCTCAAAAACGGCTAACTATAACGAAAATTCACAAGAGAGCGTTTTTATGTTGAAAAGTACGAAGAATCAGTTTTTTTATTCAAAAAGCAAAAAAATGCACTAAGAAAAAATTTTCGGTCATTTTAATACACTACAGGTACAGTAGAGAGCGCCCTCTAGCGGCTACAGTAAAACTATGCCCATGGTTCGTTTTGTCGTACCAAAAAACCCTTGTATACCAATTTTCACTGTTAGACATCAAATATAGTTCGAAATATTAAAAAAAAATATTTTAGAAAGTACATTTAAACACCCTGTATTTCGGAAGCCACGCATTTTTCGACCCATGTTTATATAGACTTTATGCATTAATTTTAAAGGTTCTATCGAATCTCAAAGTTATGCAACAATAAACTGAAACACCCTGTATAAACACGCCACATCTTTATAACACATATTGAAATAGATTTTTTGAAATTTTGCATTATAAAAAAATTAACTAGGAGTAACGTAAAATTATGCAGATGATTGAAACATCAACACCTTCTATGCTGGATGCTGGTGCTAATTGAGTACAGAAACACATCTTTTGTTTTTTTAATAAAAAACTTTTATATATTCAATTACCTTACTTTTAGATGTCTATGTGACACAAAACACAAAATTTATTATTAACTTGGTTTTATATTATGTCGATGATAAGACTAATATTAATCTTGAAAGTATTAATAACTGTTTTGATATGAATAACATGATCCTCAAGAATCACTATTTTACAAGAAAGAAAAACGGAGACATCTAAAAGCAAGCCTGAACCTGAAAATAACCATCAACGATTTGAATTTTAACGACGTATGAGGAAAGTAATCAAAACATGCTATTTTAGGCTAAAATTGTTACGAGGGATGTCTTTATTGTTTTTCGAAGTATTCTCCACGAAGATTAATACACATCTGCATGCGCTCGAACCAATTTGTCGAAGCACTTATTTCACTCGTTTGCTCGCAGATCCAAAACGGAGTTTTTGAATGCGTCAACTGCTTCTTCTGGTGACTGGAACCTTTGACCACGCAGTCTGTTTTTAATTTTCTGGAAAGTAAAGAAATCGCTAGGACTTAGATCGGGACTATATGGAGGATGGTCCAATAATTCGACGTTTTCTTCCGTTAAATATTGCCTTGTTTTTTGGGCTGTGTACGAGCTTGCATTGTCTTTGTGGAAGATGATCCGCCTGTCGCGACTATCTTTTTCGAAACACTTCGAGAACGGATGACTTTTGTTGGCTTTTCTTCACCTTGGAACACCCAAACAGCCGACTGTCGTTTATTTTCTGGTTCTTAACACTGGACAACAAATTTTAGTTTTTTAATTGTATCTTGTGGGAAAAGTGCACTTCTTTGTTAATTTTGGGGCGCTGAATCCAAAAATGACAATGAAATAAAAAAATTCGTTGCGGTTTAGAAAAAAACTTTTTATTTTTAAGCATATATTAAAAAAAGTAACAAGATTCATATACTTATAAGAATCACTACATGCGCTGTCTTTTTGCTGTTCTTTTATGGATCGTTTCTGGAGCATCTCTACCAAGAGTCCAACAGTAGTCTGCAAGCATGGAAGGATTCCACTTTCCCTGGTACCTTTTTTCCATTGTTGAAATATCCTGATGAAAACGTTCGCCGTGCTCATCACTTACGGATCCGCAATTGTCAGGAAAAAAGTCCAGGTGTGAGCGTAGGAAATGTATCTTAAGAGACATATTACAGCCCATCTCTTGATACGATGACAGCATATTTTTGACAAGGGTTTTATAGTTGTCAGCTTTTCTATTTTCCAAGAAATTAGTGACCACCAGACGGAAATCATTCCAAGCAGTTTTTTCAATACCTGTTAAAGTGTTTTCAAACTGTGCATCTTTCAAAATATTTCGAATCTGTGGCCCAACAAAAATACCTTCTTTAACCTTTGCCTCACTTAGTCTTGGAAATTTCTGACGCAGGTATTGAAAAGCTGACCCATCTCTATCTAATGCCTTGACAAAGTTTTTCATTAGGCCCAACTTGATATGCAGTGGTGGTAATAAATTTTTTTTCGAATCTACTAATGGCATATGCTGTACATTTTTTTGACATGGCTCTAGGAATTGACGAACAGGCCAGTTTTGTCTGGTGTAATGAAGTACCTTTGCCCGACTGTCCCATTCACACAAAAAACAGCAAAACTTTGTGTTGCCTAGGTGCAGCTCAAATAAAAGTGCAACAACTTTCAAATCGCCACAAATATGCCATTGGTGCTCATCCTATTTTATGCATGTCAATAGGTACTTCATATTGTCATAAGATTCTTTCATGTGAACTGCATACCCTACAGGAAGAGATGGTAAAATATTTCCAATATTCAATAACACTGCCTTTAAACTCAATGTTGAACTTTCTATAAACAATCTCCATTCTTCTGGGTTATAGTTTATATTTAAAGCCGCCAGTAAGCCGTTAATGTTACTGCAGAAAACCAAGTTATTCTCCATATTGAAAAATGGTTCTAAGTCTTTGTGGCGTTTACGAAAAACACATACCGAAACATCGTCTTCTAACAAGTTCCACTGCTGCAGTCTTGATCCAAGTAACTCTGCCTTACATTTTGGATGTTCTAAATCTCTTACAAGATCATTTAATTCTGACTGTGTTATTTTGTGCGGTTGGTGGCATGACGTGCTCGGTATAAAATCAGGATCTCTTGACGTTGATCGCATATCTTCTTCCTGACGAATCACTCGATCGCCATGATCTGATTCGTTTTCTGATT